TTCAAGGACACTCAATTTTCAGAATTACTTAACTTTGGAGACCATTCTTTGGATTAGTTTAACTCTGACAGCAATCAACCTAATCTGAGCTCCGTTGTAAATATTTCGATTTCTGTTCAAGATAGATATTTTTTTCACTTACGTCAAAACATTAGCAAACTTTAAAGTGATACCAATAAATCCATGTGTTTAAAAATTTAGGGATGTGCTTCTCTTATCTTCTTCAGATTTCTTTGAAGTGAGAAAATCACCTTCTTATATTAGGAAAATAATGTAAAATCATCTTTTCCATTCATAGAGCACAGCATGACCCTATTGTTTGTAGAAAATATTCTAAAGGGATGCTAGCTACAACTAGTATCCTTTAAACGAAAGTTTCTATTTGTGTACATTCCTTGCTATTCACAAAGTGTCTAAAGAAAAAAAGACTTCTTCAATTAGTAAATCAGTTAATGATGTACAGCAGCAGTGCTTGCAACTGGGGGAGATATCGCATACTGGTGGGTGATTTGGAAATTTAGGTTGGCAGCGGAGATCACGTGGGTAGTGGCAATGCTCTGTACCCTGCTGGGAAATACATCTATGTAAAGTAGGTGGTCATGGCTATAAATGGATTAACAAGCACAGATGTAAAACAATGTTCAATCATGTTTTTATTTTCTATTTACAGGGAGTGTTGGACTTCTATTCCGTGCACGGGTACTCCAATGCCATTGGTCAAACATTTGACAGCCTCGGTGTATTTAAGGTAAGCAATGATTCTTTCTAAGTACTACACAACTGTATACCACGTCTGCTTACTTGACTGTTTGAATGAAATGTGCACAGTTCTTATTTGACATAAGCAGCCCTTATAATCGGTGTTGAAACGATATGACTGAGAGTGAAAGTAATTGGGGTTAAAAGGTCACCGAAGAGGCTCTAAATTGAAATGGTAAAATAATTCTCTCTTTCTTTCTCTCACTCTCAGTCTATCTTATTTTTCATTCTAAATGAAACTATACATCTACAATTAGGTCCAGCAATTCTTCCTTCTGGCTCAGAGATATTTTTAAAAATGATACGATCTAACAAACTAATCGGTATTGAGTTCAGCATATTATATTGAAGCAAGTCATAATATTCTGTCAACGTTATTTGAATAACAATATATGAAATCGCATTGCACCATATCGTAGCTTATTTGATCAAATCATGTCAACATATATTTTCATTCTGTGGAAGTTAAGCGAGTTGGGTAAAAACGTAAACTAATTCGCTGGTCATTCAGAAAATGCAAAATTGTATTGACAAACCATTTATCAATCCAATGAACGCAAAGCCCCCCCCCCT